GGCAAGAATCATCCATAAATGCCAAATCTAGGGCTAGAATATGATGAAGATCTGGATATATCATGATCTCAAAGTGTCTCTTCACAAACAGCTTATTAGTTGCAAAGGGAAAAATATTAACCATACTGGAGAAGCCAGACCACAACTGGACAGGATGATCAAAATTAATATTACTAATAATGGGCAGATGCACACTATGAGCCCCCAGATGTGATACCTTAAGGAGAACACACTTGTATAATGTTCAAATCAGAAATGCATCACCTGAATCTCATCCTGACAACCCATCAGAAATTCAAATTAAAGAACATTTCATAAAATAACTAGCCTGTACTCACAAAGAATGACAATGTCATAAAAGACAAAGGCTGAGGAATTGTTATAAATTAAAGGAGTCTAAGAGACAGGACAACTAAATGCAATAAATGATCTTCAACTAAATCCTGGACTGAGAAAAACAAATACGATAGATGTGATAAAAGGCATTGGAACAGTTGCCAAAATTAGATTACAGACTACAGATAACAAATTAGATAAAACGCTGTATCACTGTTAAATTTCCCATATTTGATAAACATGCTATGGTTACAGAAATACACACTGAAGTATACTCCTAGAAAACACACAGTTATCCAAAGGATACAAAAATACTGATTCAAAGGGGCACATGCACCCCAATGTTTGTAGCATCACCATCAACAATAGCCACATTATGGAAAGAGCCCAAGTGTCCATCAACTGATGAATGGATAAAGATGTGGTATCTACATACAATGGAATACTACTCAGTGATCAAAAAGAATGAAATCTTGCCATTTGCAAAAGCATGGATGGAACTACAGTGTATTATGCAAAGCTAAATAGATCAGTCGGAGAAAGATAAATATAGGATTTCACTCATATGTGGCATTTAAGAAACAAAACAGATGAACATAGGGGAAGGGAAATAAAAACAAGATAAAAACAGAGAGAGCCACAAGAGACTTAAATACAGAGAACAAACTGAGGGTTGCTGGATGGGTGTTAGGTGGAGAGATGGGCTAAACGAGTGATGGGCATTAAGGAGGACACTTACTGGGATGAGCACTGGTGTTCTATGTAAGCGATGAATAACTAAATTCTACTCCTGAAACCATTACCACACTATATGTTAACTAGCTTGGATTTAAATAAAATTTAAAAAAAAGAAATAAATAAAAACAAAAAACAAAAATAAAGAAAATACACACTGAAGTACTGCTGTGTAAAAGGGGCAAGATATATGCAACCTATTCTCAAATAGTTCCCCAAAATAATGGGCATAAAGAGAGAAATTCCACAAAATGTTAAGTTCTCTGTATTGTTCTTGCAACTTTTCTGTAAGTCTGAAAGTATTTTAAGTCAATTAGTTTCAGAGCATATCTAATAAAATAGACCATAAACCAAAATAAATAACATCACTTTAAATTCTTCTTTTACCTATAGACTACCTCATTTCTATATCCTTAGTTGGATCAAGAAACAAATACCAGATTTCAAATATTTGTTTGAAAGTTTAAGGACCTTTGAAAGAAATTAATGGTACATGTTATATGTCAAAACAAAATGAAGATTTCATGCTAACTTTGGTGAGCTCTGGGAGTTTAAATTGATCGCATTTACGCTTTTGTGAAACCTCCCTATAGAAAATGTTGCACGATGTGTAACATACACTATACTCTAATGTACAAAATGCTTAACACATTATTTATAATAGCAAAAATATAGTGAAAATATAAATATCCACCACTAGAGGAATAGTTAAATTATGATATACTGTAGAACACAATAGTTTTCTAAAAGAATGAAGTATATTATATATAAGCATATAATGAAGTGTATTTTAAAAGAATGAAGTGTATTATAAGTATAAAAATATGGATATACTACATAATACAGAATGAAAACAAAAAGTTGCTGATACATGTTTTCATACAAAAAATCAGAGTTGTATTAATGTTCTTATGTATGTGCCCAGAAACAAAAACCTCAAAGGATATAGGAGGAATAGTTACCAGTGACTACCTCTGGAAGATGGAGAGGAGGGGAAAGGGTACAATTATGTTGTTTGAATTTTTTTCCGAAAAGATCATGTACTCCTTTAACAATTAAAACACACACACACACACACACACACGCACACAACTTTGTATTGTTAGAAATGACTGAAATGTTCTTCAATGAAATATGATTCATGAAATCTTATTTCATCGAAAAATATAAAATATAACTGATAACAAAACTATAACATATTCTTATTACTCAACTGTAACAAAATCTATTTTTGTGTTCAAGTGCCTTTGTGCAATTGGTTCCATGTTCTTAATTTTTAATTTAACAAAGCCAACAACTCCTTTTTGGAAATAGGTTTATCAATCCTAAACTGATAAACCTTTACTTAATGACAGTAACAAAAATTTTAAAAAGCAAAACAAATATCCACACAATGTCTTTAAGAAAGTTTATTCTGAGAATTTCAGTTGACAGCCAAACTGAAGTATGATCTACACAACGTACTTTACAACTATTTATGATTTATGATAGTAGAGAGACACTCTTGAACTTTGAATTACTGACTATCTTGTTATCCATTTTATGAACAGGGAAGATTATCATCCTCAGGTGTCCTTCCACTAACAATATATGTTAGGTTGTGTACATAATTGACAATTAAATACAACAAAATATTTATTAGGTTGTTAGTACAGTATGTTTGAAGCTACCCCTCGTCAAGAGAACCTTACAAAATTGAAAAAAAAAAGCTTATTTTACATTGAATTCAACAATAAATAAAATTAACAACTATTTAGAATCTCAACTACTTTAATTAGGTAATTTGGGTGACAAATTAACTCTCTCAGCCACTGTTTTGAAAGGTGGCTTAAAGTCACATTTAGAGTACATTTGTAATTAGTGAACAGGCAACAGGCTCACTATTACATACTTTGATAAGCAATGGTTACAATCTCAAATGACAATCACCATTGAGACTGTGTTTATGTTGGGATTTTTTGTTTATCCATATACTCTGTTGCACATGAGCCGATCTCTAGGGACCCTTAGGGAAACAATTATTTTTTTCAGCTTCTAAAATATTATTAGGAATATTATCATTACAATTCATTAAAATAAATCAATAAGTATGCAATATAAACCTATTAACACTAATTCCATAATTACTCTCAAACTCTCATTACCAGAAGAGACACACACAAGAATGCATTGTTTCCTTCCATTTAGGCTAAGCATCTTGAGAACTGTATTTGTTTCCTTACCTGTGTGTACTAAAAAAAAAAAAACTGTCATTTTTCACCCTTTCAACATTTCCCAATTCTTTTTAAAGTCTTATTTTATTTTTATTTTTTTATATTTTATCTTAGAGAGAGAGGAAAAGGGAGAGGAGGGGAGGGGAGAGGGAGAGAGAAAATCTTAAGCAGGCTCCTCACTCAGCAAAGAGTCCAACACTGGCCTCATCCCACCGCCCTGGGATCATGCCCTGAGCAGAAACCAAGAGATACTCAAACAGACTGAGCCACCCAGTCACCCCTCAACATTTCTCAATTTAATCTCTAATACAAGACTATGAGGATAAACATATTTGGTCTCTAACTTCAAGGAACGCACAATTCAGTGGGGAGAAAGGCATGCAATCTACAGGATATGATCATTAATGCTTAACTTTCTACAAGAGAAAAGAAAGGTTAGGTAAAGATAAAAGCAGGAAGAAATGTTGCTCTTTGAGAAATAACATACATACATTCAAAAGAGTACTCATCCATTTTCAAATACCCTTGTTGAGTTGTTAATCTGTAAGAACAATACACAGTGGAAAAATACAGTGCTGAGGCAGGACCCTTGGTTTCCCAATTCTAACACACGGTAGCTTGTGTGCCTTCAGGCTTGTCACATACCAGGGTTGGTCTCAGTTATCTCATCTAAAAAGGTCAGTATTATCTTACCAGCCTAAACCCGAATCATTTTACTAGCATAAACCAAAGTATCTAGTGGTTTCCAAGTCTAAGACCCCCACTACTCACATTCTCATATATCAGATTCCCCAAGTAATCATGGCACAGAGTACCAGTGTGAGTAAGCTAGGTGAATTATGGTTCCTAAATTGAACTTTTACATCACCAAGAGAATAAACTATGATAGGTCCTGTATTGTACTTCGAATGTGGTAGGCTCACAAAATGCGTTACACAGGCCATGACATAGTCTTAAAAAGATAATCGAGAATAACTGAATGTCTATAACTGTGTACCATTCTACTACTACAGCAGGGTTTATTTCCTACCCTGAATTCGAGTTTCTGCACTACCGGAACCACGCCTCCTGAGAACCAGGGGATAGCAGAAAAACCTCTCAGCGGGGCAGGGAGAAAGATCCTGGGTAAGTCAAGACAAGCGTTCCCAAACAGTCAGTCAGTCAGTCAATCAATCAATTAATGAAATAAGCCATATATTTTTTCTTGCCCTCAATGAATCAATGAAATGAACCCTGTATTTTTTCTTTCCCTCCAGCTATGCAGCTGCACAAAGAGAAGCACCAGATTAGCATCATCTGCATTTCATTCCTTTTCTTGTGCAATAGCTACCCGCCTATAATAAACAGACCTTGTGCGCAGGGGAGAATCTACTTCCCTGTCCAGTGAAAATGAAGTTCCTTTTTTTTTTTTTCCACTAACAACGCCGTCTCCAACCAACATCCACCCTCCTCAAGAGACCAGGCACTCCTCTCCCCGCCACCTCCTGCCGCTAGCCTGACGCCCCCAACCCTAGAAATCGCCCACCTTTCGAGCCCTTGCTGCAAGGGTCGCGAGGAGAGCTCTGGGTGACAGCAGAAGAAGCCGGCGGGGGGGGGGGGGGGGGGGGGGTAGTTGATCGCCCAGACCGCAGGGAGTCCAGCCCTGCCGGTGAGCGCCAAGCTGCCTCTGCCGGCCGGGGGTTCGCGGAGGCGGAAGGGGAGCGGCGAGCCCCGCGCTACCCACACTTACCCACTTTGTCCTTTCCGTACATGTGCCCGGCCACCTGATGCGAGAGGGGCACGCAACCATTGAGGAAGCGGAGCCTGCCGCCTGCCGGCTTCGGGATGCCCTCGGGGGGGGGCTCGCTCGCGGGTGGGGTCCGCATTTCTGGGGGGCCAGGAGCCTCGAGTCGGAGGGGGGATGGCGGCTCCGTTGCCATAACACAGAGCCGAAGCTGTAGCTGCAGCGAGAGCAGGAAAAAAATAGGGCGGAGGGAGGGGGAGCCGGAGAACCCGGGGGTCTCTCAGGCTTGGCCGCGAGGAGGCCCGGGGGTTCCCGCGGCTGGTGCCCGTTGAGGCCCGGGAAGGGGGCCCATGACGCCGCGGAGGCGCAGGCGCTCCCCTGCCCAACTCTCGGCGGAGCGCAGCTCCTGACTCCCGCTGCTCTGCAGCTGCGGCCACAGTTACCGCCGCAGCCCTGGAGACGGAACCGAGACCAGGAGAGGTGGCGGCGGCGCCCCGCGCTCCCAGGGGCCCTGACGGCGACGGCGGCCCCACCTCCCGCGCTCCCGCCCCCTCCCGCCGTCCTCCAGTCCCCTCAGCTGCCGCGCGCGTCAGCGCCGCCTGCACAGCCGCCGCAGCCGCGAGCTTCCGACTGCGCGACCCGCGGCTGCCGCTGCTACTGAGCATGCCCAGAGGCTGCCCGACAGGACCCCCCGCAGCGGGGCGGGAGCTCGGCGCCGCCCCGGAGAGCTGATGGATACCGGGTGGGGCGAGCGCGTTCCAGGTCTTTCTCACACCCACTCCTCAGCTGGCGTTACAATGCCAGCGGAGCTGTTGTACCTTCATTCATTCAGTGGGAGTTTCAGCGCTTATTGGGGTCCAGCTCAAGACGCCAGAGGCTCCCAATGATGAAGAGCAATCAGTCAAGTGTTGAGAGTTGGGAGGTAGTAGTTGTGCCAAGTATGGCTTCGGAGGCTACAATCAGCTCCCTCCAACCCCCACCCTGCAGAGACAATAGGAGTTATAAACAGGCAGCTTCTTTAAAAACGTATCTCCAAAACATCCATTGAGTCAATTCCAACCCCCCTAAACTGCTTTTATAAAAAATATTTTTTAACCGACACTAATTTCAGACTGTGGAAGATAGAGAATAATCTTGGGGGGAGGGGGCAGTACATTTTCCTGTAGAAATAAGCCGCTCCCCCCCCAACCCTTAGCTCAGGTTCCAAAGTTCCCAGAGATAACTGACTCAAAAGCATTAGAAAGTGATGCACGCCAGGAGTGAGGTTTTGAAATAGCACTCCACAATTGATACCTGTGTGTCTGCTACTGGCATTTTCTACGAAGACTGGACCCGGTCTTGCAGGTGCAGAACTGAGCAAGAAAACTGTGGATAAGATCTTAGATACCTGATTATGGCAAGTGTTATTACAGCACCTGTCCTTTGCCCAGAGAAACCCGCACACCTGGAAGAGACTAAAAGTCTGGCCTAGCTTGTCTATTCTCAAAGCCCTGCCCCCAGGCTCCAGGACTCCGCCCCTTAGTGTTGCGCACACTCAGTTGCTACCTCTCTAAGTCTCTTCCCGCTCCCCAGTATTGGGGCTGTCAAAATCCCGACTCAAGACTTCTTTAAGGCCGGGACACAGCTCCGCGCATGCTCATCATCAGCCAGGGTGGCAATACACACGTGCTTACGGCCAGCCGCGGCGCCTGCGCCGTAGCGGCCTGGAGTTGGTGCACGCAGGACGTTTCTCGCACCTTGACTCCTGCCCTCCGTGGGAGCCTGTTTGTGCTTAGTGTCCTGTGCATACGCCTTGCAAGCGACGGCGCCATGAGTCTGTCTTCCAGCGTACGAGGTGAGGTGGGACCTGGGAGCGGGTGAGGCTGGAGGCCTGCGCACCGATTGCAGCTTCCTCAACTCCTGTCTGGGCTGTTACCGCTGCCATGCGAGCCCGCGAGTCCTGTAACCTTGAGATGTAGAAGGGCAAGGGCTGGGCGGGCCTGCGAGCTTCCTGGGCAAGACCGGGAAAGGGGGCGATGTCAGGGTAAGGATTGGTTATCTCTCTAGGCATGGGGGCCACGGAGGCATCTACCCGTCTGGACCAAGTATTCCTAAACTAGCCAAACCCTAAAACCTAATGGTCCCGCCGCTAGCTTTTTTTTCTTGTTCTCCCATGAGACACTTCTGTGTTAAGTCACAGGGCCTGGAAAAGAGGAAAGGTTAAAAAAAAAAATCGGTTCCCCCTTCTCAGGTTTAAATCATCGTCAGACTGTCGATTTCCTGCAAGCCTGAAGCAATGTTTGAGTAATCACATCCTAGTTTTGCATATTTCTTTTTTTTTTTTTAAGGAAAGAAAACCAATCTGAGTTCAGTTTTCCCAGTTTTTTTGTTTTTGTAATTATAGCCCTCTGGCATCTGGCACTCAACATCAGCAGTAGTCCAGGAGAGAGGATTGAAAACGGAGTTCTTTGAGCTCTCAGCTTTCTCAGCCATGCTTTCCTTGTGCTAGTCTAGCTTTGGAAACATAGGTCCAATTAAAATTAAGAGACTTTTCTAGCAGTCGATTAATGTAGACCTTCACATTGTGTGGTGGTTTAACTGTTAACGTAATACTGTGTGCACCAGCTACGTGATACACGCGATCTCTCTGCCCAGGTATAAAATGCCATGTCTCATAGTTTGGTTGTCTGTAACAGTAGTTAAGTAAAGGTAAAGAGATTGTCCAGAAGTTAATTTAAAAGAGCCCTATTGATTCATTTAGTAAATATTGAGCATCTAGAGTCAATGCCAGGTTCTGTAAAGGCTCCTTGTTAACTTGAGACCTAATTTTGTAATCCACTCTTTAAGTTGGAGAATTCCACTTCTGTTGCCAAAAGTTACCTGGCGACCTGGCAGAGTTACGTGGATAACCCATGACATTTTTAAGTTACTAATGAAGTATGTAGGAGGTGATTATTTGCAAAAATTGTTTCAAAGGATGCTCATCTTGAGAGTCCTTTAAATAGAGGCACCTTGGTGCATTTAAAATAGGGATTTTTGTTTTTGATTTAAAAAAAACCCAAACCTGTATTTTCTCAGGAATAAGACTGTTGTGTAAAATAAGATACTCGTGTGACTTAAGCCACTGATCATTCTATAGGAAGACAGTTTGCACTTACGTGATATAGGCTGGAAGGTTCCAACATGGGTTTTTAAAATGTGGAGTCATTTGGTGTAAATGGGCACTAAACCATTGAGATAGCATACTATTGAAATGTGAAGTAGGTGAACTCTAGGACTTATTAACACTATCTGCAGGCTAATCTTTCTTGGAATCAAGACAAGTTTGTGGTTGCTTTTTTTAAATCTAACCATAGGGGAATCCAAAGGTGACTTTCCCATTAACTTGCCCTTCTCTAAGGTACAGGAAATTGCTTGGTGAAGAGGGTGATCAGCTTAAACTTGAAGTACTCAACTTTGTTAGAAGTAACTACTTTTTATTTCACCTAAAAACATGAAGGCTGTTAGGAGGACTGCCAAAAGACACAAAACCTTTGTAAAACTCTTTAACCAGCACCTTCTTACTTCCTCAAATGTAGTATAGTAATGTGGCAAGGTAGGGACAGATAATGTCTTAGGAATCCACCTTGTAATGTTTAGATTTCATTTTTTTCTGAATTTTTAAACCACACTAAAATCTGCATTTTTGAGTTTGGGGAAGATGAATTAAGATACTTGTTTTCAACTAAATAGGTTAATAATTATAAAGGGCTTAGAAAAGTATTTAGCAGAGGTAAGCTGTTTTTAAGTATATGTTAAATAAAAAATAAAAGGATGTGTCTATGCATGCAGAATTCTCCTTTATATTCAGAAGAAAAATAATGGGTGGTGGGTTATAAATAAAATTAATGGGGATCAGGCCAGGACATGAATCTGGGAGAGGCAGTGAAGATAAGTGGATTAAAATCCTAAGATCCCATGCAGTGAGATGATTCTTAATACCCATTTGGTGAATGATACCAGCCTTTTTTTTTCCCTTATTGAGGCATAATCAACATACATATACCGAACTTATTTTTTATTTGATACCAGATACTAGTTTGTTATAGTCACTACTATGGAGTCCCCAGTCTAGTGACTCCTCCTCATACCCAGTATATGACTTTTAGGAAGTTTACTAAATGTCTTGCTCCTTGATACCTCCAAAACTCATTGAATCTGCTCCTTCAGGTTATAAACAGTAAACAAATATTGGGGTTGTTGGGGTCTATAGATGTAATAGGATTGGTAGTGAGTTGATACTTGGTGGAGCTGGGTGAGGGTACATAGGAGTTCATTATAGTAATCCCTGTATATATGTCTGAAATATTCCATAATAAAGGTTTATATTTAATCTGAAATGTTTAAATCCCACACTTTGATACAGTAGTTAAGATGAGGTCAAAGATAAGTCATTTGGTATAAGAGCAATGTGATGGTAAGATGGACAGATGGAGTTGCAAATTCAAATTAGTAATCTATTATTTTTTTTTACCCAGCTAACATTGAACACCACCTGTGTGCCAGGCCTGAGAAAAAAACATTACCAGGCACACCCTACCAATCTGGGGAAGAGACCTAGGGAGGCAAAGATTTAAACACAGCTCCCCTTCCCCTCTCCTGAGAAGAAAAGAACATTCTGATTCTGTGGCAGTTGACACTGGGCAAGAGAGGACCGTTTTGGACAGAAAAGAGGTTAAAGGAACAGAAAGGGTGAGATTTCTAAGTTAAAGCAAAATTATTCCCACAGTAGAGAAAAGCTGAGGAATGGGTTATAAACAAGGGATTTGGAGACAAGTTTATGTTTTCTCAATCTCTGAATAATGCTGAGAGAAAACCAATATTATATTATACAAACCAGGGTTATACAGTAGTAAACCAAGGGAAGAGTAAGAATGGGAGGGATTATTTAGAAAGGTATTTTCTGCATTTTGTTCTTTATATTGGCTTATCAGTTGTATTTCTTTGTGTACATAGAAAGCACTGTTAAGCAAAATTGGGCAGAGTGGAGTTTGATCTAACTGTAGAAATACTGTTACCTGTAGAGAGCTATCTATAGAGAAGGGAAGTGAGGATAAAATCCGACGAGGCAGAAGTAGTGCTCAAGATAGTGTCTGAGAGGTGCCAACTGAAATGTCTTTAAAAATTGAGTCTTGGTAAAATCTCTTTTTGCCTCTGAGATTGTGTTTATTCTTAATAGAAGATATCTGCTACCAAGAACTAAGTATCACTTTGGTTTTATTGTTTTTATTTGTTTACTATCTTGGGTTTTCAATTCTTTCTCTATTCTAATTATTGACTTTTAAATCCATTGTCATTCTTGACTATCTCTACATTGTTTCCTTTTCCTTCTTTTCTCTAGGGTTGCCAGTGGCATCCACAGCTTTTTGCTAGAAAAAAAAAAAAAAACTGATTCAGGCTGCAATAAGGAAATGATAAAACAAATTTCTTATTCTGGAAACTTTTCCATTTGTCTCTAATGAGACAAATTAGAGAATTAGGATTTGTGAAGAGGGGAAAGGGAAATTCTTAAGAATTTATCTGGCTCTATGATTCTGAAAAATCCATTGGAGCAAATGCAAAGCCATTTTCCTAGCACACATGGTACTGTGACATTTATATAGGGTCAAAAGTGACCCTTGTTAAGGGGTACGGTTACAGTGCATGTTTTGATTCCCCATGGGGCAGCTACTTTTCAGTAATATCTAGAGTCAGTTCCCATTTCTTTCATTTTCTATTGCCTCTTTTCTGTGTCAGTTATTCTGTCATTTATTCCACTGTCAAAAATTCCAGGGAGGTTAAGTTTTAAAAGAAAAGTCACCATATGGATTCAGTGGCTAATATTGGATTCAGAGGAAAGAGACTACAAGAATGTTTTCATGGTTAAAGATTCTTTTAACCTATCATTAGCTTCAGACAGAAATTCCTATAGGACTCCCTCTTTATGTCGAGACAAATTAATCTTAACCAATTTTAGTTGTTCCTTGGATCTCAGGCCTTTTTGTAATATGTAGGCACCATTAAAATAAATCGTTAGTGATTACTTCATAATTCACCTAAAAAGTAAGGTGTAACTAAGATCAACAGTATCTAGGGAGTTGTGTTATTTTATTCTTTTGGGATATTTCCTCCTTTTAAGTTTATACTAATGATAAAATTTAGCCAACATAATTGAGCATATACCAACGTTTATTTTTGGGACAGAGAGAGACAGAGCACGAGCGGGGGAGGGGCAGAGAGAGAGGGAGACACAGAATCGGAAACAGGCTCCAGGCTCTGAGCCATCAGCCCAGAGCCTGACGCGGGGCTCGAACTCACGACCGCGAGATCGTGACCTGGCTGAAGTCGGACGCTTAACCGACTGCGCCACCCAGGCGCCCCGAGCATATACCAAGCAAAGGAATATTTTACCCCATTTTGTGATAGGTACATTAGCTGTTCAGAGTGACTTTCCATTAGCTTAGAAGTGCATTGCTACAGCTCCTGACGTAGAGAATACTTTCTCAAGGGAGTTCCATGGTAAATAATACATCAAAAAGGAAGATCATGAACCAGGCTAGAAATCAGAGCAAAGTTTGAGCCCTGCTTGGAATTGCTGCAGGGTAATATCATGAAGCAGCACTAAAATTCAAGACCAATCTACAAAAATTGTGTAGTCAAAAACATTCTTCAATGAGTCCAAAGGTTTGAAGCTGTCAAATAACTTACTAACTTGTTTTCTCAGTCACGCAGCACCTGGGAAGGACATCACGTTTGTTTATCTTAGGGGATTTCAGCAAGGAAAAATGAAAATGATGTAGGAAGAAAATAAACTATTAATGTAAAGAAAAATACTATGGTTGAAAATAGAATCCAAGGAACGTGCAAACATTTGATAAAAAATAGTTAAATAAGGTAAAACAGAGGACCAAGCTAAAAGGAACTAAGTGTGAGAATGGTTGTTCCTTCCCATTACAGTTTTGTAAGAATGAGCTTGCTCCAATTTAATGTAGGGCACTATTAGGAATGGTGATTAATCATATTAGTGCAATAAGAAATTTGACTCTAGTGCAAGTAAGCCATACAGTTAATTATTCATTATATGTTTTTATTTGGCCTTGGAATATGTTTTTTGTACTTATCTCTCTAGGGCTTTATTCGATAGTTTGGGAATTTATTTGAGATACTGTGAAGATCTGACTCAGGAAGTGCTGGGAAGCAGTCCAGTGTGTTTACCCTGACCCCTGTTCAACTTCTTCCTTGCAGTCCACTCCATGCTGGGAATAGACAACTCTCCTCTGAGGCTGAGGCTAACCAGACTATGCAGAGCTTTCTTCTCTCCAGCGTTCTGTGGAATTGGGGTAGTTAAGTGCTTGGGTTTCTAAGGGCTCCTTGAAGGCAACATGAAAACATGGCCTGTTAGTCAAGCAAATAATTGAGTAGAAAAATGTCATTAAATTTAAAATGAAGTTTGTAGAGAATTCAAATCCTCATACACTGGTGGATAATGGAAATTTAGAATATATTAAGTGAGAATATTATATTCTCTGTAATTAGAGACTAATTATATTCATCTTTTATATGAAATTAATACATTCTGATTTTTATTCTAATGAGAAAGCACTTTGAAATTTAAAAACAAACACTTTTGAATGACTTTGAAGCCCAGAATCCTACTGGATATATTTCTTTGAATGTTTAGTGTTAAGGGGTGGTTTTGTTTTATTTGTCCTTTATTTGTTTTTTCTTCAGATACCAGTTATGTTTTGTTTCATTTGTCCTTTTTTTCCTTCAGATACCAGTTCTGTTTTACATTAAAAATTTTTTTATGATGTTTATTTTATTTTTGAGAGAGAGAGACAGAGAGTGAGGGGGGAGGGGCAGAGAGAAAGGGAGACACAGAATCTGAAGCGGCTCCAGGCTCTGAGCCATCAGCACAGAGCCCAGTACAGGGCTGGAACTCACAGACCAGGAGATCATGACCTGAGCAGAAGTCAGATACTTAACTGACTGAGCCACCCAGGCACCCCTATTTTACATTTTAAAATCACTAAAGGACCTACTATTTAAATGAACTCTGATGAGTCATTTTATTAACATAATCACCTCCTGATTTTTGGGGGGAGGGGAGTCTTTGTAATCTGAATTTTTTTTTTTTTAACATTTATTTTGAGAGACAGAGAGAGGCAGAGCATGAGCAGGGGAGGTGGAGAGAGAGAGAGAGATACAGAATCTGAAGCAGGCTCCAGGCTCTGAGCCGTTGTTAGCACAGAGCCCGACGTGGGGCTCGAACTCATGAACTGCAAGACCATGACCTGAGCTGAAGTCGCACACTCAACCACTGAGCCACCCAGGCACCCCGTCATCTGAATTTTTTAATGTATCAGGGTTTGTTTGTCTGTTTTTAAGCAATAGGTATCTACAGTCTTACATGTATTTTAAATCTATTTATGAGCACTTTAAAAATTATTAAGCATGGTTTTTCCTTGTCCATCTATAAAATAATTTTTAAGTTTCCTTCTACCTTGATTTAGCCATCAGCATTCAATAGAAAATACACAATTACCTCAGTAAAGGCTGGGGAAAGTCTTAACAAGAACTATTACACCAATGTGTTGTGATCATTTTGTTAACAGTAAAAACCTTTGATTATTGGGATGCTTAACTCAAAAACTGGATTTCCTGAATATTCATGTTAGTAAAAATACACATTATTAGCATATATTTTGGTTTTGATAATTATTCCTGTTTTCCTTCCTTACTCTAGTTGAATGGATCGCAGCAGTTACTATTGCTGCTGGTACAGCTGCGATTGGTTATCTAGCTTACAAAAGATTTTATGTTAAAGATCATCGCAACAAATCTATGGTAAACCTTCACATCCAGAAAGACAACCCCAAGATAGTACATGCTTTTGACATGGAGGATTTGGGAGATAAAGCTGTGTACTGCCGTTGTTGGAGGTCCAAAAAGGTGAGGATAAACAAGTCCTTTATATTAGTGCCATCTTTAATGTTGCATTTCTTTTTAAACTATTTTATCAAACATATATCACCAGATATTGTTAGGATATCCCCCCCCCCCCCCCCCATTTTTAAGTAATCTCTGTGCCCAACATGGGGCTTGAACTCACAGCCCTGAAATCAAGAGTCCCATGCTCTACCGACTGAGCCAGCCAGGTATCCCTTTTCCTTTTCTTTTTCTTTCTTTTTTTTTTTTTTTTTTAATGTTTGTTTATTTTTGAGAGAGAGAGAGAAACAGAGCCTGAGTGGAGTTGGGGGACAGAAAGAGAGGGAGACACAGAATCCGAAGCAGGCTCCAGGCTCTGAGCTGACAGCACAGAGCCTGACACAGGGCTTGAACTCGTGAACCACAAGATCATGACCTGAGCCAAAGTCGGATGCTTAACCAACTGAGCCACCCAGGTGCCCCTCTTTCTTTTTTTTAATGCATCTTATTCTTCTCTGTTTTCCATGTACTCTTCAGGAATATATTTCCTAGAACATCTAACTACTGTGCAATAAAATTCTATTTTCCCTTATTGAGGTCAGGTGAATGTAACTGTATTCTTGGCCAAGAAGAGAGAAGAAGAGAGAAGAATCCCTTTATTTATTCTTAGGATTTCCTCCCCACATGGATCTTTACCTCCACTATACCAGGAAAGAGAGTATGCAGCCTAAAACATTAAAGAGGCACAGAAAAAGTAAATTCTTTTCTTGAGCTTTCAAGCTCATGGACTCTAGAATAAGTTTTTAAAAATTCAAGAGAAACTTGGAAACTGCCCTTGAAAATTTCTTATCTGGGGGCACCTTGGTGGTTCAGTGGATTAAGCATCCAACTTTGGCTCAGGTCATGATCTCGTGGTTTGTGAGTTCGAGCTGCGCATCGGGCTCCATGCTGACAGCTTGGAGCCTGGAGCCTGCTTCGGATTCTGTGTCTCTGTCTCTCTCTGCCCTTCCTCTGCCTGTGTGCGTTTTCTCTCTCTCTCTCTCTCTCTCTCTCTCTCTCTCTCTCTCTCTCTCTCTCTCTTAAAAATAGACAAATATTTAAAAAAAAGAAGACAAAGAAAATTTCTTATCTGGTAAATACATTTGCCCTGTATCTAAGCTTGCTTTTTTTTTTTTTTTTAAGATTTTATTGTTTTATTTATTTTTTTATTTTATTTTTTTTTTTTAATTTTTTTTAACGTTTATTTATTTTTGGGGGACAGAGAGAGACAGAGCATGAACGGGGGAGGGGCAGAGAGAGAGGGAGACACAGAATCGGAAACAGGCTCCAGGCTCTGAGCCATCAGCCCAGAGCCCGACGCGGGGCTCGAACTCACGGACCACGAGATCGTGACCTGGCTGAAGTCGGACGCTTAACCGACTGCGCCACCCAGGCGCCCCGAGATTTTATTGTTTTAAAGTAGTCTCTCCACCCAATATGGGGCTTGAATTTACAACCCCGAGATGAAGAGTCACATGCTCTACGGACTGGTGCCTTTAAGCTGTAGCTCCTATACTTAAATATCGAACAGGACTTTTTAAAATCTTATTTCCTTTTGTGTTAATTACATTTCACCAGGCTTTCATTTGGAACTATCATCTATAATACCTGTAGCTGTTAGGCAGCTTTTAGACAGTGATGCCAGCTAGTGACCTAAAGATAGTAAAATGCTTTCCTAAGGTCATCTTGAAAAGCTTCATATATTGAATGACTTCAGAATTTCTGATATATTGTGAGAAATATGGTGAAAAAATACTGTATGTACTGCCACTATTAGCATTTAAATTAAACAGATTTCACTAAAGATAACCCTATAACGCATAAGAAAATAGACAATAAAAAATGATATATCTGTTTCGGAAAGCACTTCTCAGGAACTACCTTTTCCCACAGTGGAAAGCCATTACACAATTAAGGAAGAAGTCCCATACTAAGTACTGGAAAATGTATTCTAACTCCCTCCCCCAATACAATGATGCTGTATAATCCAGTGACACAGTACTTAGATAATGTCATTGTATCTGAAAACTGATGAATATATGGAATGTGCACCAAAAATTAATAGTCCCACTGCAAGTTGTACCTTAAAAAGAACACTGTTCATTTGGTGTGTGGGATTATTTATAAGTACTAGTAGGGTCTCTAGAAAATAACCCTCAATAATAATTTATAGACTGCACCTGGTTTTTTTTTTTTTTTTAATTATGCTCATACTAGGTTTTATTCTCCTGTTGCTCACCAAAATATAGAAACAGTATCTTTAGAAATTCAGGAATTTATAAGTCAGAGTGTGGTCGTTCTTTAGTCAGTGATCATTTAGTGTCTTCTATATATGCATGGGAAAAGTTAAATAGTAAAATAGCAGGTATCATAGATGTGTACAGTAGACTCACAGGTGATTTAAGTGGAAGAAAGAGCTTACACTGGGCTAGAATTTTCTGGGAAGGCATAGTGATAAACATGGGAGTTAAATTGCCCCTGGAAAGATTGGTGGTATTTGAATAAACTAGCAAGTTTGGGGAACTCTTTCTCAGAATCTGTAGGAAAGAAGTGATCAAAGCTGAGATCAATGTAGAATCTAGTCTGGTCCTTGCTCTCCTGAGTAACTGTGTAAGGAGTTTGTGCCTCCAGACATTGGGGAGCTTCTTGTCAGGAATTTAAAAGTCATGATACTTACACTGGGTGCTAGCTCTAGGAAAGGAGAAAAATGGACAGATATTGGAAACATTTTGAGGGAAGGATCAGCCAAATGCACTGACTGATTTATATGGGAGATTGGGGGAGAAAAACAAACTCATTAAAGTATCTAAACCTGTAATAGTAGAAGAGATGATGCTGTTAACAGAAATAAGAATTCAAGAAGAAAAGCTGATTTTCTAGGATGATGACAAGGAGTTCAGTTCCAAAGTGAATTTTGAGGTGACATTTGAATGGAAATGTCCAGCAGACAATCTGAAATGTGGGTCTAAGGCTGAGACATCAGAGTTCGAGATAGAGATCAGCAAAACTAAGCCAAGCATAAGAATGCCAGCAGATCCTTCATGCAGATGAAAATCAAGGGCTAAGTATGAAATCTTAGGGAATTATTTGCATTTTGGAAAGAGGAATAAGCACCAAAAAGGAAAATGAAATCTTGCCAGAGTTAGAAGAAAACTAAGAATATCATGGTTTCACAGTGGAAAACGGAAGGTTTCAAAGATTTGGCTGTGAATATCAGCTTGTGCAAAGACAACTAGGTGAATATTATAGTAAGAGTTGGGTTAAACAATTAGGCAATTGACCTTTTGGTGTCATTTCAATGGAATAATGCTAGAAGTCTGAGTGTATATCAGAATTTCAGTAAATATGACAGTGAATGGAAAGCAGGGGAAATACAATGACTGCCTGAGTGAACTCTAAAGCATAGATTTGGGGGGTCAAGTAAAAGATGTTTGCTTTGGTTTGGTTTTCCCAGAGGGTAAAGAAAAGGTCAGTAAAGCAAATAGGGACTTAAAAGGACTAAGATTGTAAGTATTTCAGGAAGAATCACAAATGGACACAGTGGTTTAAATGGTTTATTTATAAGCCTTTATAATTCAACAAAACATTCCAGGATTATTTTTTCATCATGCAGTTTAGAGTTTCTAGATGGTTAAACTAGAGGTGGTTATTCCCACAGGTAGACTTCAAGGAAAAGAATGCCAGACCAGTCATTCCCCCCCCCACTTTTTTTAAAGCTTATCTTTTATACTGTTAGTGATCCCCTTTGCCTTTAGGATTTGTCAGTTATGAATTTTCACTGAATCTTAGAAACTTTTTATTCCCACAGAATCAATTAAGAATTTACCTTTAATATTATTCATGTTAATGGATGTTCTTATTCTTCAGGTATCGTTGGAAACTCCCCATGTTCCTGAGGTACCTAAGGTTATCATAGGGGTGCCAACTCACACATTTACATGTCAGTGCACAAAAGACTTGTAATTAATACCTTTGATTAGATGACTCTGTTGATTTCATTTTCAGTAATCTTTTCCTTATACAAACCAGTTGTGTTTATAATATGACAAAATTATACCTATCTCAAGAAAAGTTACATGTGATAGAAACTTTAATTCAATTCTAATTCATTCTTAATGTACAATCACTGGTAACCTATTGTGTGGGTCTAACATTTTTAGTGGTTTTTCCAGACCTCATGAATCAGATCTCTTAGCAGTGTGCAGAAATTACATTTTGCCTCATTAGTCTTCTCTTCCCCCCAGGATTGGTATGCCCTCTGCTGTTTGAGAAACTGGCCTCTTCATAGGATTTCACAAAAGGGCTATCCATATGTGACTTGAGAAAGAAAGGAGCCAATAGAGTAGAAATGATTAAAGTGACTGTAAGGAAGTATTATTTGAGACAGTGCCTTCTTGAAAGAGGGTGGAAGGAAATGAGAGTAAGAGCACAGAGGTGAAACTCAGGAAGGAAGGGAAAGCCTTATTTTCGAAATAAGGAAATGAGAGAACTTTGATGTCAGAGGAAAGAGTATGCAACCTAGTCTTGCTAATTCCCTCTCTCCCAGTTGTATTTTGGCCATCCAGGAGGCAGGAGAGGGTGAACAAGGACAGTAGAAGGATGCACACTAAGAAATCAAAAAAAGGAGGAAAGACATGCCAGTTACTATCGGAAGCTCAATTGAAATTGAAATGCAACTGAACATACTAAATAGAATCATTTTGTTTCACTTACAACTTCATGATTTGAATTGGGTGTTTTTGTTAGTAGTGGGCTTGTTTTTGTTTTAGGGTATGGTGCACTGAGCCCATTTCTTCATAGAAACAAAATTCTGTGTTGGTTACATAGCTTGTCCAAATCACATAAGGACAGTCTTGTAATTCTGTTATATCTACTATCTTACATTTTACTAAAGTAAGTACCTAAGAATGGAATAAAATGTCATATTCTCTCAGTATCAGATCTTAACTGCTTTTGTTTTCTTTCTCAACCAAAGCAAGACTATTTCTGAGAGCAGTTTATGGTAGTGAGTCAATATAGCCCCAGGCAACCTCCTTGGGAAATAAAATCCAAACTCATTAAAAATACAAAGTTTGGAGAAGGAAGATAAATGTTTTTTTCTTTTAATTGTTGCAGAGAGAAGAGATATGGAGGAACATTTATTTATTATTTATCTTGAAAAATCCAAAAAACAGAAACATAATTTGAGATTGGGGAGATTGAAAAGAAACAAATCTTGTATATTTTACATAAGACTGATGATGTTGCTAGCTTTCCAAATCGGAAGCAAGAATCTCTAGTTTTATTTATCCTAATCAATCATTTATTCTAGTCCCTTTTCTAAACCTTCTCTTCCCTAATTTTAAAAATAATTTGGGATTAGTTTTCTAATTGGGTTAACAAACATAACAGGATATTTTCTGGACATACAGGAAATTCAGCCAATTTAATTTACAAACTTTTCTCCAGGATTTGTTAAATAACAAACACTGGCATCTTTGATATTAGAATCACATATGAGCTAAACTTTTTTCCATCAATTATTTGATTCTTTAGGTTTTACTTTTATGTATTGATATATTGAGAATCATGAATTAATTTCAATAAGCATATTCCATTAATATGGACAATGTATTCTTAAGAGATTGCTAATCCAATCTTGAAGTAACTCATTTTGGTCCTTGGTTGAAAAAAAAATTTTTTTTTTGCTGTTTTCATTAACTTAAAATGAAAACTCTCTAATGAATAAATATAATCACATGAAGTTGGAAAGAGGATTCTGACTTAAGTCAGTAATTCCTGGGATTGGGTGATAAAGAAAGTACTATTAAGAGACATCTGTGTCTCTGAACAAAATGATTTTTAACGCTTAGTTTACACTTTAAGATCATAAAAAGCTTTATATATTATAAAAGCAGGAAAGTTTATTAAAGAAATAGGATCTACTATTTGCTGCTTTTTAAAGAAATACTTGTTTTTTTTTCTTTTAAAACAGGAAACAGGCATATTTTAGTTTTTAGGCAGAATTAGATATTATATAAAAAGCATATTCTCATTTTAGATGTATGGCTTTCTTTCATTAGATTATCTTTGTATATTTCTCTATAGATTTCTCTCCCGTTCTTCTGGCATCTAGGCATAGTAGTTATCAGTGCCCACAGTGCTTTTTTTCACCCCCCCCCCCTTAAGCTCTATGCCCAACATGGGGCTTCAACTCACAGCCCCAAGATCAAGAGCCACATGCTCCAGCCATTGAGCCAGCCAGGCACCCCGTCTCCTGTTCTTGAGTCTATATATAGAGAAAAATCATTTTTTAAAATAAGTTATTTTTCTAGTATTTAAGATGAGATTTAAAAAATACGCATTCTATTTCAGTAAGTTCTTTGAGGCTTTTTAATTGATAAATACTTCATTTTTCAGAAATACAATTTATACCATATATGTAAAACTACAGTAACATGTTTTGTGTGTGCTGTATATAAAAAATAGTGTCTTTTACAATGTAAACCTTTATTCTCACTGTAAAATCACCTGTGTTGATTAAACATACGTCACTTTGAAATGCTGTTCTTTGCTACAGGGTACATTTTAGTTTGATTTTTTATGGATTGTTATGGCCTTTTTCCTCATCCATACCAAGAAAAAAAGCTTAAGTCGATGTTTTTGCTATAAGGACTTGTTTTTAACACGAATATACTGTGTACCATATCTTACTGACCTAAAAGAAAGAAAGAAAGAATGAAAGCTTTATATATGTTACATTGATGTTGTCATCTACCCCAAAAATAGAATTTTTACTTGGAAATATTAGATATGCTGATACCTTAGGTTTTTCTGTAATTTTTAACTAATTTACTGCCTCTTGAAATTATATATAAATAGTAAAATTAAAATGGAATTTCCTTAACATCAATCAAATATTATTTTATTATTCGACGCTTCTAATGTCAGAGTTTAAGATTATATACCTTCACTGTCTGATTTCAGGTATCTAAAATTATACACCCTTCACTGTAATGAGGCAATTTTAATCTTTTTTTTTTTTAATGTTTGTTTATTTTTGGGAAAGAGAGAGACAGAGCGAGTGGGGTAGGGGCCTAGAGAGAGGGAGACAGAGACACAGAATCTGAAGCAGGCTTCAGGCTCTGAGCTGTCAGCACAGAGCCCAACACAGGGTTCAGACTCATGAACTGTGAGATCATGACCTGAGCCCAAGTTGGAGGCTTAACCCACTGAGCCACTCAGGTGCCCCGAGGCAATTTTAGTCTTAAAGCTAAGCCTCCTATTACTTAACTCTTCTAAATAGGCCTCTTCAATGCAATAGTGAACATTATACTAAATAGTGACACTTTAGATTCAGAGTGTAGGTACATTTAAGAAATCAAGAACAAAACCAAGATGCTAGCTATCATTGTTTATTGTGAAATGAAAATAAATGGTATAAATATAGGAGGAAACAAAATAATTCACTGGTGTAATTGGACCTTCTAAGTGTAAAAACCTGAGGAGACACCTAAAATATTGTTGAATTCCTATTTTTATCATTTAACAGTAGGAAAGATATACGGTACTTACAAAAACCATTGATAATATGTAGCATAAGTAGTTAAGTATGAAAATATACCTAATTATGATGACTTTTATAAAACCTATACAGAAGAAATAATGTTATCAGAGTATACATGAGACCTGAAGATGAAAATTATAAGAAAATCTAAATTGTACTTGGCAAAAGAAAATCCTCATTTGTCTGGAAGAGTAAATAGGTAACGTTTAATAAAGGTAGGTAGAGACTAAACAGGGAAGGTCTAACAAGAGTAATGTGAAGGAAACCTAGCTATACCAAATAGTGAAGCATATTTTTTAAACACAGTTTTTATCCCAGCAGTGTAGGCAATGTAAAGCCTATAAATAGACATTTATGGGTAGAACTTACTTTGCTAAGATTATGAATAGAGGTATAACAATAAATGTATAGCCTCTAATATTGAAGCAACAGGATCTTAGAACAGCATTTTGTAAAGTGTGCTGTATAGAACACTAGGATAATGCATATCAAAGCTAAAAGTGTCCATGGTTCAGTCAGTCTGGGAAATTTTGAGTTAAAATAGTATTTTTTAATAGCAGGATTTCTTTTAAATAATAATGTATGCTACAAATCAGGAGAATTACCTGGTATGTTTTTAAAGCAGTGAAACCAAATCAGAACATCTTTCAGGACTTAACTTCTTTGGAGCATACTCTGAGAAGCACTGTTAAAAATTTACTTCTCACTTTTTCTCTCACTGGACCCCAAAATATTAGTTATATCTAAAATGTGAAATCATGGAGAGTAATGAAAATACCAAAAATACCACATCTCTAAGAGAAAGATGTCTCCATGAAGTATGTTAAAAGGGGAAGTACTGGCATATGTGTATGAAAGTGAAGAAATTAATATGAAAAACTAAGCAAAATAATAAGGGTTGAGAAAATTGCTACAAAGGTGATCAGAAAAGGGATAATAAATACACAAATTGATTTTAAACAAATGAACTTAGGCTCTTACAAATAAATGGGAAATGGACATAGTTCACTGGAAGGGAAATATAACTAAGTAGCTTATAAACATGAAAAAGGTATTCAGCATCCATAAATATCACAAATGGAAATGCAAATAATGATCTGTGTATTATTCACAAGTTGATTTCTTCCTTCTACTTGGTATATATACTTGGTATATATAGGCTCTTTATAAGAACACCTAGATAAGGTGGTCTAGGAAAATCTTTTTAAGAGTTATCATGTTCTATATGAGACTTAAGCATCACCCCTACTCTACCAAATTAATACTGATGTTGCAATTAGACATTGACATTCTCTCTTTTCCTAGTTCCCATTCTGTGATGGATCTCACACAAAACACAATGAAGAGACTGGAGACAACGTGGGACCTCTGATCATTAAGAAAAAGGAAACTTAAATGAACAGTTTTGGTGCTGCAAACCAACTAGTCATGATGTTACCTGATTGTTTAATTGGAATGGCTACCACTTCTGTCTATTTCACTTCCCCTGGGTTCTAGATGTGATACATTGCAAATTGCAGCTTTCATACTCACAGCATTTCTCTTGTTGAACCATCGTGGTACACATTTGTTTAAACAAAAAAAGGAAAAAGTAAAAACGAACCTTATGGCCCATGGGTTATCTTGGTCTTGTAAAGATCCGTTTCTTTACGTTTAAAATAATTATATTAGAATATAGTTATATGTTGAAGTTAATACATTAAATTATTCTCAGAATGATGTATATGTAGATTGTACTTTCAAAGAAAAATCATCACCTTTTAATATTACTTAGTTAACCTAGAAAGTAAATTGGGTGTGATTAAGCTATATTAATATCTTAATATAGGAAAAACCTGTTATGACCTTGATTCTCTTCTTGACAAACAGAGGTAATAAGAAAATATAGCTTTATGTTTTCATAGTTTTTAATCAAAATGAACTTTGAATGTTATTCTGCTTAATTATAAGTGGTCCAGGTCTAAAATGAAAGGGCACAGTAGCTTCTTTATTCATTGGCATGGATATTTAATTGACCCATTAAAGGAGCCAATACTGGAAATTTAGATCAAAGTGGTAATAGTCTTAAAGTAATCATGAAGAAAGTTGTAAAATGTAATGCTCCAGAATTCCAGCCCAAGAAGTGTCAAGCACTTGAAGCGGGGACATTGAAGGAATTGGAACACATGATGTCCAGTCTCTTGAACACAAAGCTGCACATCCATGACAGAAATAGTAGTCACAAAGCTAGATCAAAAGGCGCGAGAAGATTTATTTCCCACTCTTGATTCAGGCACATGCTATTCGGGGAAGAAAAATAATTACATTTTCTTAAATTGTATGATTTTTAAGAGCAAAAAAATTTGAAGACAAGATTTTGTTTATATAATATTCTTTGAAGACTCAGATCATTGCATTCATTTAAAAAAATGTGAGAACTGAAAATACTAGGAGCAAAAAAATATGAAGACAGGAGTAGTAATACATGTATTTTTAAAGGAGATTAGTTCTTTGGGTTTTGTGAGTCAGAAGGAAAAATCAGGACAAGATATATACATAATACAGGCATACAATTGAAATTGACAAAGGTAATGAAAATATTCCCATCATTTCTTTTAGTATACATGAATTCTCAGTAGTAGTAGGTAACACGTTTCTACTTGATAAAATTCAGAATTACCTTGGAAATCACAGGAATCAACAAACCAACTATCAGCATTCCTATATTATGTAGGATCACTGATATTTTTTAATGTACAATTTTGTGTATTACAGCACATAAAGTTTATACCAAAATTGTGTATACTGGTTTTAAGCAGCTTATAGGACTTACTTAGACCTGTCTTTAAGGCACATCTTCAATACAAAATCTAAAATACTACAAACTCTGATTCTACCTATCAGTTCCTTAAGGTGATTTTCTTTCCATGCCTCTTCCTCCTGTTTTAAGTAAGTACCAGTGGGTCTGCAAAAGAAGCACCATGCTTTTGTCAGACTCTGTGCTGACAGCTCAGAGCCTGGAGACTGCTTTGAATTCTGTGTCTTCCTCTCTTTCTCTCCCCACCCCCCCAACCTTGTGCTGTCTCTCAAAAGTAAATAAACATTAAATTTTTGTTTTTTTTTTTAAATTTATTTTGAGAGCAGGTGAGAGAACAGGAGAGCGGCAGGGAGAGAGAATCCCAGGCAGGCTCCACACTGTCAACACAGAGCCTGACAAGGAGCTCAAATCCATGAACCATTAGATCATGACCTGAGCCAAAATCAAGAGTCAGAGGCTTAACCGACTGAGCCACCCAGGCACCCCAAGAATTGTCATGCTTTTAAATGTTAATTGTTTAAAAAGTAAGTCCATGAACTCGCTGTTTCTGATACAGGGACATCCTTTTAATAGACTAAACGGTTTCCTTAACTTTGAATTTGAAATTGCATTATCAGTCATGCACTTTTATGGCTAGTGGGAGAGAGGGGGAAGAAATTAGTGCCAATTCTGAAAACTTTTTCAAAGTGATAAGACTATGTGTATGTTTATAGTGAAATGAGAAGTGATCACCTAATTGAAATGCATATCTACTGTAGCATTTTGATCATCCAAAATATTTAGATAAATGTATTCCCAGGGTCATGTTAAAATTTTGGTACATGCTTTTGAGTTAGAATTCCTTTAGAACTTTCATGTTACTTAACCTAAAAAGGTGAAGTGCTTGTGGTTAAATTAATGTGATGTTTTTATACAAAGTCCTTGTGTGCAAATACTGTTCTTATTTAAGCACGCTGAAGCTTCTGATTGCTTTTTCATTTGAGAAATCAGGCAAATAGGGTTCCCCCACACCACCACCATCTTTTTGTGTCTGTACATACCTGTTCCAGTGATTTCCAAAATAGAAATTTGTGCAAGGTTGAGAGTTTTTTTTTTTTTTAATTTTTTTTTCAACGTTTATTTATTTTTGGGACAGAGAGAGACAGAGCATGAACGGGGGAGGGGCAGAGAGAGAGGGAGACACAGAATCGGAAACAGGCTCCAGGCTCTGAGCCATCAGCCCAGAGCCCGACGCGGGGCTCGAACTCACGGACCGCGAGATCGTGGCCTGGCTGAAGTCGGACGCTTAACCGACTGCGCCACCCAGGCGCCCCAAGAGAGTTTTTAATGTTACAAAGAAATTTGTTTTGCAATGACTGAAAGTGGCACTCATCTGTGCAACAGACATTTATTAAGCATCTTCCATAAACCATATAATTGAGAATGAACATTTTGGAGAATTAAAAGCTTACAGATAAGATTATATCATTTGTAACATAGGTTATATAATTATGATAACATGTGTTGGGGTTTTCCTTCACAAATTGTAGCAGGTACAGTTGTGTATACCAAGACTTTATACTACAAAGTACATGGATTTATTTGATTTTTTTCATTAGTTATGAAGGATTTGGGTTTGGTTTGGTTTTAAGATAAACATTGATTTTGGTTCCTAATTGGCAACATGTTTAGTGCTTGTGTACTGTGAGAGTATGTTATCTACTGGTTGTTAGAAGCTATTCTTCACAAACTGATTTCAGGCAAAGCCACTCACCTCTCAGCCCCTAAAATGGCTGAATAAAATGGCGTTTTAGGCAATTTGTTTGCAAATTCTAGGCCAAGCCTAAATTTTCAGCATCCACAAAGGAAAAAAGAAAAAGGCTGATAGGTTATCAGTTTGAATTTAATTTTTATTATAAGATTATTCCTACTTTTGTGGTATTGAACTATCCTTTTATGAAATGTTGATGTAGTATTAGTTGCTTTAAATATCTTTAATTGGCAAAATAAAAAGTTGGCAGCCCTATATTGGTCCCCACTTTTTTTTTTAACTACTCCATGAAATCTAAAAGTCTGGGAACCACTAAGCCAAGATCCTGAGACTTAACTCTTTTGTTAAGGTATTAATACAGTTTTATTAATTTTGATACTTTGTATATTTGAATTTTTTTAATGTTTATTTATTTTTGAGAGAGTGAGACAGAGCGTGAGTGGGGGAGGGCAGAGAGAGAGGGAGACAGAATCCGAAACAGGATCCAGGCTCTGAGTGGTCCACCCAATGCAGGGCTCGAACTCACGAACCATGAGATCATGACCTGAGTCAAAGTCAGACGCTTAACTGACTGAGCCACCCAGGTACCCCAATACTTCATATATTTGAAATTTTTCATATATGATGATTAGCACAATATTGAGGTTTTCTGCAAAGTTGTTAATGTATAAGAATACATTTTTATTTCTGTTCAAATGTACTATCATGGAATGGATCCAAACTGAGAGTTAAAACTATCCATCCTAATCGTTAAAGGATTAAATAAAATACACAACACAGAGATTTAGAAAGGATGATTGTTAATTGGGTTTATGCCTTTCCTAAGAAACATCTATATTTTTAGGGATTTAAGAAGTATTTCATAAACAAAAGAATTGCATATGTTAACTAAAGTTGCCAGGAATTATGACAAAGGGAAAAGACTGGGAATAAGATTTTGATAAATTGAGGACTATAGTTAGGATTATAGATTAAGGGTATTAATACGGTATTACCCCTAAGGTCTCTGAACAACAGAAAAGGCATTTCAACCTCAAACATGCAACAGTAGAATACCAAGCTGAAAATGTTGGCTACACATTGTGTAAACTAGATGTTCTCTTTCAGTCATACCAGTTATCTATGAGGATATTCTATTTCTTTCCAGTTCTTACAATATTTCTTTTACAGATCAGTAGAAGTCAATTTCTGTTAAGACCTGGTTCTCTGAGTGCTTGTTCAAAAGTTTTCATTTATAAGTACACAGAGTTGTATAGATTCCCAGCCTTATGTTTAAAATAAGGCCTACCTGCCTGCATGCTCACTACTGTGGGATAATTTCTTTTTCTTTTTTCTTTTTTTGCTAGTGATATGCCTACTAACATTTCTATTATTGGGTTAGGCGGTGAGTGGCTCATCTAATCCATATTCAAGATAGACATGAGAGATGATGTCTCTTACAGACTTATCATCCATTAAACTTAGCTAAATCTATTATTTTTCAAAATCTCCCAACCCTGAAAGGTAGAGTTTCATTTATGTACTCCATCTGCACAGAAATCTTTTTTCTTTATCCTAAAATTTCTTGATACAGACTTCCTCTCCTCATTTAAGACAAGACTGTGTGTTCACTTTAATACCCTTTATTTTATACTTTTAAAATTCCTCTACCCTCATCTTTCCAACTTGTAGTCTGCCCTGTAGCCATCACATGAAACTTTTCCTTATCTCTTCATCTCCATGTCCCTTCCAATGGAGAGCATTTTGGTCATCACTTAGAGTAGCCAATTATCTTTTAGTACTATTGCTCTTAGGATCCACTGGGAAACTGCTAGCACAGAAGCAAAAATACACTGGCTTTCCATTGCTAGTTACTGCTTTCATTCTGACCCTGGATGCCATCTAGTATAGAGTCTCCGATAATGAAAATACTAAATCATGAATTACGTTTCATAATTTAACACTACCATCCAATGTATGCACTTAAGTTCTGTTCCTCCAGTAGATCTGTACCCCCAAAGTCTGGTCACTTGTAGGAGTTTAAATGGTTCTGTGCTTCCTTTATGCTTTTAGCATCTTGTTTACCAAAGTCATTGGTCATGCTACATGGCTCACTTTTTTTTTGAAACCCTGAGAAAGAAAAATTTTCCAGTTTTGGTCAATACAATAGACCCAGTACCCAAAACAATTATAAGCACATAGCAGGTACTCAATAAACACTTGTTTTAATTAACAATGAGATTTGAATGTAATTTTAAAAGGATACAAAAATCACTCTCCAAAGTCAATATTTCTTTTTAAAAATTTTTTAAAGTTTATTTATTTTGAGAAAGAGCAGGGGAGGGAGAGAGAGAATCCCAAGCAGGCTCTGCACTGTCAACACAGAGCCCAATGCAGGGCTTGAATTCATGAACTGTGAGATCATGATGTGAGTCAAAACCAATAGTCAATGTTTAACCGACTGAACCACCTAAGTGCCCCTGAAAGTCAATATTTCTTGTTCTCCCCCAAATCC